AGCAGAAAGAAACAAGGGACAGAGGTTGTGCAGCCCCACATGGGTCCCTCCAGCCAGCAGCCTCAGCCAGGGGGCCCCTCCTTCTAACAGCCTCCCTTCCTGCAGCCTAAAAGGGCCCACTTGCCCCCCCAAATCAGGCATGCTTGTGCACAGCTCCCCACAAATGGGCACTTCAGACAGAAGGTGACAAGGCTGCCTCTTACCCGAGCAGAACGCCATGCGCACCGTGTCCTGCTTGGCCATGCCCAGCACAGGCAGCAGGGAGCTCAGGACGGACGGCAGGAAGGGAACTACGCCGAAAGCTGAGAAAGAGGGCACGTCAGGGGCCTCTGCCAAGCCTTCCAGTGCCCTGTGCTCCTCCTACGGGCGCCCTGGGCCCCTCCAGCCGGGGGCAGGCTGCGTGTCACCTACCGTTGGCCACCGAGAGGCTGGCGAGTGTGTGCAGCACGGCGCAGTGTGGCAGGGCCCCGGGCTGCAGCCTGCACAGCAGTTCCTCCATCACCTTGTTGATGAACTGCCTTCCCACGGCCACCAGGACGCTACTCGCTGCCTGCTGCCAGTCTCCGACCAGGTCCTGAACCGAAAACACCAGCAGGTAGAACCTCTCCCTGAAATCTCCCAAAAGGCGAGACCAAGATGTTCTGCCCTCAGTCGCTGCCAGCCTCGGACAAGCACACAGCGTTCAGTGTCCCCAGAAAGTGTGGGTCACAGACGGGGGCAGGCACAGCCTCTCTTGGCTGCTGCCAAGAGACCCGACACACACAGGAGAAGCAGAGCCCTGGTGAGAGGGGGCTGCGCTCAGTGCCCCGAGAAAGTTAGGCCCAGCAGAGCCCTGCACCAACCCCAATGCCGGGCACAGCCCTACGCCCCGGCCGCACGCACACCACTGCCCTGAGTGTGCTCAGTTTCGGCAACTTGCTCTCTGCTTCAGCTGCTGCCTCTGAAAATCACAGGGGACTATCCCCCGCCCCTGCAGGGTGGTTCATGGGACCAAGGGGCCTCTGCCAGCCCAAGGCAGCCACACACCACACACCCTACACTCTCAAGGCTGCTGGGTAGAAAGGCCAAGAAACAGCTTCCCTTCCCAAGCCAGGACTGAGTCTGCGAGGCCAGAGGGCCTGCTGCATACCTTCATCTTGGTCATCTCGCTGGAGGCCAGGAGGATGATGGTGCTGGCTGTGTCCTTGTCCAGCTCACTGGCACGACTGCTCAGGACCCTCTCCATGGCCCTCAGGACTGCCGCTCGGTATGGGTGCGCCAGCTGTGGAGAGACGCCATCCAGGACAGTCCCAGGTGAGCCCTGCGCGCAGACGCTCTGAGTGCCTGTCGCGGCCTCGAGGCAAGACAGCACAAATCTCTCTGCCTCAAGTGGAGGAGGGGAGGGGCATACCTGATCACTCCTCATGCCCTAAGAGCCGACCTGCAAGCCTCATACTCTCAGCCCACCTCCCGAAGGGTGGACGGTTATCCTGTGCCACACAACCAACATGCAGAGGGCAAGGCGGGGCGGCTTCTCTCCTCCAGGGGCGGCCAGTAGAGTCTCCCAGTCACAAGATGCTCCCAGGACCCTTCTGCCTCCTCACCCCACCCTCCCCTGTCAGAGGAGGACATCCTCCTGTCCCCAGCTCAGCAGCCCTGGCCTCAGTCTACCGCTGCTAGGCTAGCGCTTGCATCCAGGGGCCCCTCCCCAAGGCTGCTTAAGGAATAGCACCGCCCACCGCCCCACCTTCTGCCCCACCCCCAGGCCACCTCTGTCTCCCAGGTTAACCCTCCAGAGTCCAGCCTCCTGCCTTCATCCTCCCCACTGACAGCCACCGCCTCTGTAAGTCCTACAAGCACGCACCACTCTTGCCTCAACTGTGGACACTCCAGGGACTGGGACTGGCTGCACTAAGCACAAAGCTGGGACCCGCAGAAGCACACAGCAGAGTAGGCCACTGCCCAACCCAGGAAAAGACCCTGGGGCGCCCGGCCACCCTGTGGTGACAGCGCCTCCCCAGTGATGCACCCACCACAGCCTCTCCCTCCACCAGGCTGACAGCAGCCTGCACCTGCAGCATGGCACCAGGAAGGGCAGACGCAGGGCGGCCCAGCGGCCCACAGGCACTGTTATCCATTCTCACATGGCTATAAAGAAATACCTGAGGTAGGGCACATAGACCAGCCTGGCCAACATGGTGAAACCCTGTCTCTACTAAAAAAAAAAAAAAAAGAAAAAAAAATACAGGCCAGGAACAGTGGCTCACACCTGTAATCCTAGCACTTTGGGAGGCCAAGGCAGGCAGATTATGAGGTCAGGAGTTCAAGACCAGCCTGGCCACTATAGTGAAACCTCGTCTCTACCAAAAATACAAAAATGAGCAGGGCATGGTGGCAGGTGCCTGTGGTCCCAGCTACTCAAGAGGATGAAGCAGAAGAATCTCTTGAACTTTGCACTCCAGCCTGGCGACAGAGCAAGACTCCATATCAAAAAAAAAAAAAAAAAAAAAAAACCATCATAGATTTCATTTATATTTGGTAAAAATAATAATAATAATAATAATAATAGCTGAGTGTGGTGGTGCGTGCCTGTAGACTCAGCTACTTTAGAGATTGTGGCAGGAGGATCTCTTGAGCCCATGAGTTCAAGGTGCAGTAAGCTATGATCGCACAACTGCACTCTAGCCTGGGTGATGGAGTGAGGTGCTGACTTAGGAAAAAAAAAAAGAAATTATTCTCTAATATAGAATTTAAACAGATTTTGCCTGCAGAAGCCTTAAAGAAAGGGAGTCTTGTGGATCCCCCACCAGACTGGCTCTTACCTCACTGTGGTACCGACACCCAAGGATGGGAAATCTTTTTTTTTTAAAGATGGGGTTTCACCATGATGGCCAGGCTTGTCTTGAACTCCTGACCTCAGGTGATCCATCCACCTCGGCCTCCCAAAGTGCTAGTATTACAGGTGTGAGCCACCGCACCCGGAGAAGATGGGAACTCTAACGCTGAAAATCAACCCCAGCTGAAGCTCTTTCCCTGGAGACCTGGCAGGTTCCCCATGAACCAAGTGTTCCATGCTGAGGCTTGTGACCTACACTGGCTATTTTCAGAAAAAAAAAAATCACTCCCACTTGTGGGCCTGGGGATAAACCATGATCGTTTGTGTAACTCGTTCCGGAGAGCAGCGGTGAGCAAGCCTGTCTGCTGCTACTGATGTAGCAGACAGGAGTGAATCCCTAGAGAAATCCCACCTCCAAGCCAAAGGCAGTTTAAAGCCTGAAAGCCAAGCTACAAGTTAAATCCTCAGACCAGACTAAGAACCTGTCTTCCTGTTTGGCGTGCTTTCTTCTGGTTGATCTCCACCCTTAACCTATTTTACATGTATCTACCCTTTCTAATTGGTCCGCCTCTACACGTCATGTCCGCCTTTGAGTGGTGCCTTTGCTTTCACCTCTTTTGCATACTCACAAACCAATCAGCACACACTCCTCATCCTGGCCTATAAACACTCAGACTCAGTTGGTATAGAGGAGATGGCCTAGCTTCGGCGAAGAGACAACCTGACTTTGGGGAAGATGACCCATCCTTCCCATCCCCTCTCCAGCTCCCCTCTCTACTAAGAGCCATTTTCATCGCTCAATAAAATTCTTCTCTAGCCTCTTCACCCTTCAATGTCCAGTGTATCTTCATTCTTCTTGGGCATAGTACAAGAGCTCAGGAACCACCAAATATGGGTACAAGCTGTAATACAGGTGAGCTGGGGCACACAAGTGTGGCTGAGCAAGGCCCAGGCGGAGCATCGCTGGGGTTTGCAAAGTGACCAAGAAAATGAATCCTACATCACCAGCACTTTGGGAGTCCAAGGCAGGCAGACCGCTTGAGGTCAGGAGTTCGTGACCAACCTGGCCAACATGGCAAAACCCCATCTCTACTAAACATACAAGAAAGAATTAGCCAGAAATGGAAGCATGTGCCTGTAGTCTCAGCTACTTGGGAGGCTGAGGCACAAAAACTGCTTGAACCCAGGAGGCAGAGGTTGCAGTGACCTGAGATTGCACCACTGCACTCCAGCCTGGGCGACAGAGCGAGACTCTCTCAAAAAAAAAAAAAAAAAAAAAAAAAAAAATGAAGCATCACACTTTTTACAGCCCTGCCTCCATTCACAGTTGGAAAAGGCCCACTGAGGAAAGTTCTCGGAGAAAAGCGAGCACAGTAATGAGCCCCTTTAAATAAAAATACCATTGATGAAAAAGCTAAACTGTAAAAATACTTAACAAGGTTTATTCTGTGCCAGTACAAGTGACCATGGCCCAGGGAACATCTGAAAAAGTACACCCAAGATGGTCAGGTTAGTTTGGTTTCATACATTTTAGGGGACAGAATTACAGGCAAAGACATAAATCAATACATGGAAGGTATACATTGGTTCAGCCCAGAAAGGTAGGCCATCTCGGGGAATGCTGACAGGGCACAGGTGGACTCAAAGACTTTCCGACTGGCAATTGGTTGAGTTAAACTGGCTGGGCGCAGTGGCTCACACCTGTAATCCCAGCACTTTGAGAAGCTGAAGCAGGTGGATCACAAGGTCAGGAGTTTGAGACCAGCCTGACCAACATGGTGAACCCCATCTCTACTAAAAATACAAAAATTAGCCAAGTGTGGTGGCGCAGGCCTGTAATCCCAGCTACTCAGGAGGCTGAGGCAGGAGAATCGCCCGAACCTGGGAGGCGGAGGTCACAGTATGCCAAGATCCTGCCGCTGCACTCCAGCCTGGGTAACAGAGCAAGATTCTATCTCAAAAAAAAAAAAAAAAAGAGAGAGAGAGAGAGAGTTAAATTTTGCCTAAGGAGTTGAAGTCAGCAGAAATAAATGCCTGAATTAAAGGCTGCAGTGAAAGTCAAGGTTCTTGTTATGTAGACGAAGCCTCCAGGTAGCAAGCTTCAGAGATAATGGTAAATGTCTCTCTTTAGACCTTAAAGGTGTCAAACTGGCTCTCTTCCACACGAGGCTTACACGCCACGCGGCCGTCTGTGCTGCCACCATGTCTCTAGTGATCCCTGAAAAGTTCCAGCATATTTTGCGAGTACTCAACACCAACATCGACGGGCGGCGGAAAACAGCCTTTGCCGTCACTGCCATTAAGGGTGTGGGCCGAAGATACGCTCATGTAGTGTTGGGGAAAGCAGACACTGACCTCACCAAGAGGGCAGGAGAACTCACTGAGGATGAGGTGGAACACGTGATCACCATTATGCAGAATCCGCGCCGATGTAAGATCCCAGACTGGTTCTTGAACAGACAGAAGGATGCAAAGGATGGAAAGTATAGCCAGGTCCTAGCCAATGGTCTGGACAACAAGCTCCATGAAGACCTGGAGCGACTGAAAAAGATTCGGGCCCACAGAGGGCTTCACCACTTCTGGGGCCTTTGTGTCCGAGGCTAGCACACCAAGACCACTGGCCGCCGTGGCCATACCGTGGGTGTATCCAAGAAGAAATAAGTCTGTAGGCCTTGCCTGTTAATAAATAGTTTGTATACCGAAAATAAATAAATTAAATAAATAAGGTGTTAGACTCTTAGTTAAATCTCTTCTGAATCGGAAAAAGACCTGGAAAGGGAAAGAGATTCCCCACAGATGTAAATTTCCCCTAAAAAATATGGCTTTGCAGGACCATTTCAAAATATGTCAAGAATATATTTTGGGGTAAAATACTTAAATTTCTTTTAGAGCCCACTATCTGTCACACGATGCTATGCTAGAGTCCAGTCTGGAATTTGGTATCTTACTGTTACAAGGATCTGTTTTGTCAGAGTTCCAATCTCTGATTTGACCTAATGTCGGCTGGTTGTCTGAACTCCAAAAGGGAGCAGGTATAATGAAGAGTGCCCAATCTCCCTTTCTGTCATGGCCTGGAATTCAGTTTTTCAGGTTGCTCCTGGGTCCCCTGGGACAACAGGATGTTAGAGTAGGCAGCTAGGCAGACACGAACAGGGCAGGAGAGGCCCCCAACCAGGAATGTCAGGCGGTCATCAGGCGATGGTCAGGCAGTTAAGTGTCTCTCTAAAATAATAATTGGTTGTTGCCAGCATCAGGCAACACAGTCTCACAATAGACAGAAAACACCTAAAGCTTCTGCATGGGGGAGATAAGAAAAAAAAGAAAGAAAGCACCTAAGGCTGATGATCAGCAGCTTCCTGGTAGGATCTCAGGAGTTGGGTGAATGGGCTCCAGCATGCACAGCAAGGTAAAACGGTAGTGTTTAACCAGTACATGGCCTTTCTCCAGAAACATTCGGCTGGTGAGGGGAGAGCGCCTGAAATGAACATGTGCACAACTGCGTACAAAAACTCGAAAGGAACTTCCGGTAGCGGGACACGTGCAGGTGCCCAGAGATGACTCCTGGGAGCTCCGCACCCCCACCTTTTCCCCACTTCCAGCCCCCGGCGTGTCCTCCACCTGCTGTGCACCCACACCTTCATCACAGCCTGTGTAATAACCCTGCTCCTACGATTCACCAAACCTGAGGAGGGGGTTGTGGGAACCCTGATTCATTGCAGGTCAGTCAGAAGCACAGGCCACACACCTGAAGCTTGCGACTGGCATCGCAAGTGGGACCACCGTGTGGAACTGAGCCTTCCACCTGACCTCCAGAGAGATGGTCCCGGAACTGAATTAAGGACACCCATCCGGTGTCCACTGCACAACTGACTGCTGTTTGCTAGCAGGGAGAAAATCCCCACACATCTGTGTTGATTGTCGCGTGGTGTGAGAACAGAGGAAACAATGTGAGTTTGAGTTTTTCCACTCACAGAATTTGAAAATCCAGTTTTACTATTTTTGCTTCTCTTCCCCAAACCCCATCCCTCCCCATGGCCTGATGGCTCCTGAGGAGTCTGTGTATCCTGTGCTGGATGGACCCTGGCTGACGTGCACAAGACTGGACGTGCCTAAAACCACGAGGCCCAGCACCCCTCAGCGGCACAGATTGCATGCTACCAAGTCATGGGCCTCCGAATTCATCAAAACAGAACCACAAACACAGATGCCAGACGGGAGTTGAAACCTGTAAATTCCCAGGTGTACCCCAGGACGCTGGGCTGACGTCTGAGGCCTGGAGGGGGATGCGGCGTCACTTTTCCCCAGTGGCCCACATCTTCGCGGAGAGACACTCAGTGGGCTCTGAAACATGCATGCCAGCTAAGCAAGACACAGCCAAGTGAGGTGCAGCTGCAATGAGATCCACAAACGGCAGAAATTGGAGGCAGTGACCTAAACCTCCTGGAGCAGTCTGCAGGAGGAGGCAACAGGAGAGGACGAAGGGAAGGGAGGACTAGTGACCTGGGACGGACGGGCCACAGCCCACGGGTCGGCGCTTCCAGCTCAGCATGGGCTCACTATAAATACGCAATTTTGAAGGAAGACTTTTTCTAAATTCAGTTTTTAAAAACTGTAAAGACTAGAAAAGGGGTAAAATCAGAAACAAATTAGGACAAGCATGGCGCAGCTGGGGCTCAGAGGAGGATGCCCCAGACAGAGACCTCGGGAGCAAAATCCCTCTCAGACCTGCTCTGCCCTCCTCTCTCCTCCTCATTCTCCCCCAAGACAGCCATAAAACCTGTAAATATTGGCCAGGCACGGTGGCTCACCCAGCAGTAGGGAGGCTGAGGTGGGCAGATCACCTGAGGTCACCAGCCTGGCCAACATGATGAAACCCAGCATCTGCTAAAAACAAAAATTAGCTGGGCGTGATGGCAGGCACCTGTAATCCCAGCTACTCGGGAGGCTGAGGCAGGAGAATCACTTGTACCCGGGAGGCAGAGGCTGCAGTGAGCCAAGATTACACCATTGCACACCAGCCTAGGCAACAGAGCGAGACTCCATCTCAAAAACACAAGAACAAAAAAAACCACCTGTAAATATCACTGTAATTTCCCCCACCATTCTGTGTAAAAACCGGTCATAAAGAAATTCTCTGGCCAGGTGCGGTGGCTCACACCTGTAATCCCAGCACTTTGGGAGGCCGAGGCGGCGGATCACGAGGTCAGGAGTTTGAGACCAGCCTGATCAATATGGTGAAACCCCATCTCTAAAAAAAAGAAAAAAAAAAAAAAAGAAAGAAAAATTCTCACTGGGTGCTCATGGCTTATGCCTGTGATCCCAGCACTTTGGGAGGCCAAGGCAGATTGCTTGAGTCCAGGAGTTTGAGACCAGCCTGGCCAACAAAGTGAAACGTGGTCATTACTAAAAATACAAAAAATTAGGTGGGCATGGTGGTGTGCACCTGTAGACCCAGCTACTTGGGAGGCTGAGGTAAGAGGATAGCTTGAACCTGGGAGGCTGTGGCTGCAGTGACCCATGTTTGTGCCGCTGCACTCTAGCCTGGGTAACAGAGTGAGACTGTCTCAAGAAAAAAAATTCTCTGGCCAACCTTGTTTGACTGTAGGTCTCAGACCCCCATTCAAAAGGGTCCACCCCACCTAAAGGAAAGAGTGCTGCTCAGACAGGCCAAGGAGAACTTGAGACGGGCCCTGCTGGGTGCCCCCAGTGTGCTTCCATGGCTCACACCGTGTCCAAGCCCGCTTCTACACAGCTGCCTGTTTCTTCAAATCTACGCATAAAATGGATCACTTCCCAGGGCCTCTGGGCCTTCATTCTGAAGGCTCCCATGTCACATTAAAGTGTGATTAAATAAACTTGTTATGCTTTTCTCTTGTTAATCTGTCTTTTGTTATGGAACTGTCAGCCATGACACTTAGGATGGGTGAGGAAAGGTCATACTTATATTTTGCTACAAATTACTAAAAATAACAATGGCTTTTTGATATGGTTTGACTCTGTGTCCCCACTCAAATCTCATGTTGAACTGTAATTCCCAATGTTGGGGGAGAGGCTTGCTGGGAGGTGACTGGATTGTGGTGGTGGCTTTCTCCCTTGCTGTTCTTGTGACAGTGAGTTCTCACAAGATCTGGTTGTTTGGAAGTGTGTGGCACCTCCCCCTGCTCACTCTTGGTTTCCTGGCATCATGTGAAGATACGCTTGCTTACCCTTCACCCTTCCGCCATGACTGTAAATTTCCTGAGGCCACCCCAGCCATGCCTCCTGTACAATGTATGGAACTGTGAGTCAATTAAACCTCTTTCCTTTATAAATTATCTAGTCTCAGGTAGTTTTTTTATAGCAGTGTGAAAACAGACTAATACACTCTTTTAACCACCTTTAGTATTCTTTGGCCATATCCTCAAATAGCAAGGTCAGCCCTACTTTTGTCTGACAATTAGACATTGATTTCAGCATGTCTCAGGCAATGGGGTCTTTCAGCCCCAGAGAGAAGGGCTCAATGCCCAGCACCTATGTGGTGTGTTCACCAGGTTCATTTAAAGCCCAGAGGAGAGTTGCATCAGTGGGAAGATACACTGTCAGAGGTGTCTGAACCAGAGTGACTCCATCTTGAAGAGGGGCTGGGTATAATAAGACTCAGACCTACTGGGCTGTATTCCCAGGAGCTCAGGCATTCTTAGTCACAGGATAAGACAGGTCAGCATGAGATATAGGTCACAAAGACCCCACTGATAGAACAGAATGCAGTAAAGAAGCCGACCAAAACCGACATAGTGATGAATCTCTGGTTGTCCTCACTGCCCATTATACAGGAATTACAATGCATTGGCTGCTAAAAGACACTCCCACCAGCACCATGACAATTTACAGATGCCATGGCAACATCAGGACATTATCTTATATGGTCTAAAAAGAGGAGGGACTCTCAGTTCTATAAATTGCCTGCCATTTTTCTGGAAAACACATGAATAATCCACCCCTTGTTTAGCATGTAATCAAGAAATAATTTTTAAAAATAGCCAACCAAGGCTGGGCACGGTGGCTCATACCTGTTAATCCCACACTTTGGGAGGCTGAGACAGGTGGATCACCTGAGGCTGGGAGTTCAAGATCAGCCTGACCAACATGGAGAAACCCCATTTCTACTAAAAATACAAAATAATTAGCTGGGCATAGTGGCGCATGCCTGTAATCCCAGCTACTTGGGAGGCTGAGGCAGGAGAACTGCTTGAACCCAAGAGGTGGAGGTTGCAGTGAGCCGAGATCTTGCCACTGTTCTCCAGCCTGGGTGACAGAGCCAAATTCCGTCTCAAAAAATAAATAAAAAATAAATATAAAAATACAAAATTAGCCAGGTGTGGTGGCATGGGCCTGTAATCCCAGCTACTTGGGAGGCTGAGGCAGGAGAATCACTTGAACCCAGGATGCAGAGGCTGCAGTGAGCTGAGGTGGTGCCATTGTACTCCAGCCTGGGCTACAGAGTGAGACTCCATCTCAAAAAAGAAAAAAAAAGATAAAAATAATAAATGAATAAATAAATAATAAATTTAAAAATAATAAATTTATTAAAAATTAAAACTAAAAAACAGCTAAGACAGCTGACA